AGAGCCTCAATGGGTCCTCGTAAATTGAGAGAAGGAAGAGAAAGAGCAACGACGCGGCCATTAACGGAGCACTGAACTCCACGCCATGAAGAAACACAGGCATCAGACCCAGTCCAGTTTCCGAGAAGTCCGCCATGGGAATCAGCTTGAAGACGGAAGCGAGTGAGAGCAGAAGTATCATCGGAAGCCAAAGAAGGCAACGCCAAAAGGGCAAGAGAGAGAAAGAAAGCCATGGCAGAAGCAGAAGCAGAACAGAAAATCTTCATCTCCTCCTCCATCATTGGCGAATTGGGGACCTGTAAAACGAGTGAGAAACAAGAATGCCCCAAAACCCAAATTGAGAAAGGGAAGCAGAGGGAATATCCTGTTGGTTTGTTTGCGTCTGGTTGTTCTAGAGAGAGAAAGCTTGGTTGGAATGGAATGGGGGAAGAGGAAGAGGAAGAGACAGAGAAACAGAATCTGGCTGATCTGCCAATCCTCACACAGAGAAATGGGAAGTGGGGGAATGATTAAAGGGTGTGGGAAAGAATTAATTAAGAAATGGCTGATTTCAAAAAGAGATTATGATTATGGTTATAAAAAGAAATTAGGGAGTGATTGAAACTGAGGAGGGAGAATGATTTGAAAAGCTTAATTTGTTGCCATTATTCCATATGGGAAGCAGCAGATGGAGGAGGAACAAGGAGGGAGAGGTTGTTTGAATCATTGCTGTCCCTCCACTCTTCATATATCAAATGAGTAAAAATTGGAAACTTTTTTTTCCTTTTTGAATTCCCTTTCTTTTTCCTTCCTACAATAGGATATATGAAATTTATTTCCTAAGGACAGTTCTTAATCAAGATTCAAGCCAACATAAGTACAGTTGAACGATAATTAGCATATATTTTTTTCTTATAGTCGGAGGTTTATTTCTAAATTATTGTACTAAAAAAAGTCAAAATTTGAAACCATAATTGTTAATAGAGTTTGCTTCTTCGTTGTCTACCTAACTTTGTCCTAATTCTTCTTTTAAAAATAATGGCTTCTTTCGCGTTGCCTCTCTTTTCATACTTATTTCGTTCAAAATATTGAAGGATATCTGCTTTGCTCAAAGGGTATATTTGAAATGGACATGAAAGGTCAAAGATAGTATTGAAACTTTTGAAATGGTAGAAGTATTACCGGGAAGGGTGTCATGATTTTACACTCTCCTCCGCATTTACTTTGACAATGTCCTTTTTCTCCATATATATTCCTTCACCTTCTTTGGTGTTTGCAATGGAAGAGGGTTAAGTTTGACAATGGAAAGAGAGGCAAAGAGAAAGTGAAGGAAATTGGGGAAAAAATACCCATTTCTTCTGACATTACCATTCTCAGCTAAAGTAATGTCATCGGCCTTTTGCCTTTTTGTAGGGCCCTATATGATTCATGTTTTTAACCCCTTTATTTCAATGGAAGGTGACCAGTTGCTATCAATTGGTTAACATACATATACATGTACTCAAAAAAAAAAAAAATTATCGATGTTTTGATCGGTAAAATCTAATTGGCTTATCGCTTCTATCTCGAGTTCAATTTTTTTCTAGTGTATTTATATCTTTTGTCGTGTATACATAGTCTTGATGGACCTTCACTGATCAACTGTTTGAGCATCAAGGCTAGTCAAGCAATAAATGTTGTTGTTGTTATTATTTTTTTAAATGTCAACCATGAAAAAAAACTTGTCAGCGTAAAAAATCGTCAAATAAATAGATTTTTAAGTGACAATTTTCTTTTTTTAATAATATATTATTATAAGTATGTGGATGTGAGAATTTGAACGTTCAACCTCACAGAAATGTTGTTTTGAACCATACTCGTTCCAATATGATGTCACAAAAAGTTATAAATGTCGTTGAAATATTTTACCTTCTAACTATGATTCAACTTTTCTAATTCATTTATTTCATTAAATATTAAAAAAATAGAATTATTTTTATTTTTATTTTTTTAAATATAACACATGGAGGTAGGAGGAGTTTTGAACTCATTACCTCTTGGCTACGTGTCAATTATCGTTGAACTAAACTCATGTTGATAAATGTTGAAATATTTCTATCCGTCGTGCCTCAAGTAATTGAAAACGTGACAGTCAAGAAAAATTTAAAAATGACGGGTAAATTTCTTTTTTTTTTTTTTGAACGTTTATATTTACTCTAAGATGTAGAACAAATTCCTTGCCAAAAATTTTGGAGTGACGAAGTGAAAGGGATTTCTCTACTGCATCTGCTATAATTTAATCATTGAATGATGCGACATTAATCAACTCATATCAAAATTAGAAAAAAGAAATTAGGCAATGGAACAAGTTTTATAATATATAGAAACAAATTAACTGAAATTTTAAAAAGAATAAATAATTGGGTCTGGTGCTTCTTTTTATTAATTAATTTATTATATGTTATGGAAAAGGAAAATGAAAAAGGTCACAAGTTTAAGTCAGAGGAAAGCAAGCTTGCCCTAACTTGTAATGATTAATTAAGGATATCAACATGCTCATAAACTTTATTAAATTTATTATTTATATTACACTTATTTTTATTTTCTCCTTATTCATAAAGCTGTGTTATTTTTAATTTAATAAATAAGCATATTGGATTCGTGGTAAGAAATTGATCTTATTCTTTTGGAAATTTTTTACAATTGAACGTATATATAAATATTATATGTGATGGAACGATAATACCWTTTCAATTAAATTTATAAATTTGGTTCTTAGGAGCGCTTAACAAATCTCTTTTAACTTTTAATTTGGTATCTAATAAGTTTCAAAATTTTGAATGTTGGGTTCATTAATTAAATTCTTAACTTATTAGATACTTTTAAAAATTTAGAAACTTACTGAATATAAAATTGAAAGTTTAGGGACTTATTAAATAAAATTTTAAGTCTATAAACCTATTTAGTAAAATATCTATTAGACAATTTTTAAAGTTAGAAACTTACTCGAAAGGATTCTTTTAACCATACTTTTATTACCATCCATTGAATTATCCTTTAAAAGAAAATTACTTAAAGTTAGAATATAAAAAAGAAAACATAAAGACTAAAAATAAGATAAAGTGTAAAAATTTAGTGAATAAAATAATATTCAAACCTCAAAAGGGATTACAATTCAAATATATTCTCCAAATTTAATAATGAGAAAACATGTCTCTAACAMAATTTAATTAGATCCCAATCATAAAAATCATTTGAACTTGTAACAAAAATTATATTCCTATTTTTTTTTCCAAGAGAATTTTTGTTTGCAATTGAGTGGAACTCTTTTTCACCAAATACAAATAAAATGATTTGGATAACAATGGTCAATTTTCAACCATCTATTGATTTCCACTTTTTTTCCATTCCCTTTTAAAAGTCTCATAAAGTGACATAATTAAGTTGGTGGGCAATTGAAGTTGTTCTCTTTTTGCTCCCATTTCCCTTATATAAAACTTATATGGGTAATTAATTTTATTGGGTTCATAAGTTGGATTTTGCTTAATTGAGGGATATTTTGGACCTAAATTTATTATTTGTGCTTAATTAGTTATACTGTTTCTTGTTTTTTAGTTTCTAATTTTCCACGGGTAAATATTCTTGTTTCTTAATTTTTTGTTTTTAATTTTTTTTCAAACATAAGCATTTAGTAACTAACTGTACTTTATTTTCATTTCTCGTTTCTCGTTTCTCATTTTTAAGAAATGTTTCTAAAATTTCTTGAAAACAAAATAGTTAATTTTTTTTTGTTTTGTTTTTCTTACTGTTTCTAGCTTTTTACAAAATATAAATAAAAGTATTATTGTATCATTCTTGACTTATAATACGCATAATAAATATTAAAAATAAATAAATAAATTTGAATATTTAATTAAAAAAAATTAATTTTCATATAAAAATTTTACCTAGGGGAACAAGAAACAAGAAATGATAACTAAACATGTTTCTATTTTATTTTCAATAAAAAAAAGTAAGGAACAAAAAAATTTATCAAACACAATTTTGTTTGTATTCATTAATAACAAGAAAGAAACGAGAAAGTAAAAAGTTACCAAACGAGCTCTTAACAAGAAATCTCCCAATCTCAATAGGTGGTGGAAGAGATTCAAAATTTGATGGAGTCTTCGGGTGTAATCTTTATCTCGAAGATCAGAAGGGAAGTGAATGGATGTGCCCATTCCCTTGCATAGCATTGTTCTAAAACTCAGGAGAGTGAAAAGTGGTTATCATAATGTAAACATCATTTGTCATCTGGAACTTTATATATGTCCAGCCGACCAATGCAGGTCTCAATGGCTAATCCTCATAAGGTATGGTATGAGTTGATATATGTCATTGCCCTTTAACTGCTTTTCCTAGAGCACAACGTGAATTCTGGAACGATCATAATCACTCTACAAATGTTGTTGAAAAACCAAAGCCTACAAATAGAGAGTTCTACCTCACTTCACTTCTTAGATACGCGAAACTATACGTACTCTCTTAGAGTATAGATCACACTTAACTGAACTTGAGTGTCGGATCCTTTTCTCTCTCTAGGTAGATTCTGTACGTTCATCGGTCATTCGAGTCTGAGTTTCACGTAATTGGTCGATTTTCTAATCAAATAGATTAAATTAAAAGTCAAAAACTTACTCATCAACCAACTAAATATATGCTAACAGTACTAAAATTATGCTAATAAACTTCTTTTTATAGAATATTATAAACAAATAAACCTATTAATATACAAACATTGAGCTGTATTCATGCTCTATACCAATGAAACTTATTTAAACTGAAACGAACCCAAATATTTTTAGCCAAACTAAGAACAAATTCAATCCATTTAACATTTAACTTTTTCTTTAATCCAAACAATTTTTTTTCCGGTTACACATTACGGGGTGGAATCAACCCTCAACTAATATATATCTTAATCACTTAGTTAATTTCGATCCGACATTTTAATACAAACAATAAACTAAACACAATTTGTTACGCTTAATGAAACTCAAACAATTTAAATAAAATCTGTCATATAAATATTTTTCTTTCCAAAGTTTTAGATTGACTTAGATCAAATTTACACATCATTGAATTTTTCAAATTTTAGAGGGAAAGAAGGTCATGATCAACTCGAACCTAGCTAAATTGTATATTCTCAATCAAAAGATCGGAAAAAAAATGTCACTGTACGTGGGGTTAAATACGTAATATTCCAAACTATATTTATTTATTTATTTATTTAAATTTTTTTGCATTAAATAGAAAAGACCTTCATATATATATTTCACGAGCACAGTGATGTTGTCGACTAAAGTAAAGCTAATTGCTTCAGCTTTTTTCCGATGCCATTTCCACCTTTCCCTTTTTCCTTTTTCTTTTTCTTTTCTTTTTCTTTTTTCTTAACCTACAAAACAATCAAATATCACACACACACAAAAAAAAAGTAAAAAAAAAAAAAACTAAATAAAGAGAGATTGAATGCGAGATTGGCGTTTACAAATTTACAGAACACCTTTTTCTTCCCCAAAATAAAGCCAAACTACATTGCTTTACTTTCCATTTTCGAAATTCTGTCTCTAATTTTTAAAATTATTTCTCAATTTGGTACTTTATTTTTTTTAATACCCAATTAAGTAATTCTTTATAAATTTGTAAGAATTAATTTTAAAAAAAAAAAACTGGTCAATATGAGTTGAAATCCAAAATAAAACAAATTTTGACTCATCCTAAATTATTGAAATATTAGCCTCTTTAGTACCCTAGTAAATATGCTAAAATTGAACCCTCATAAAAAAATTTAATTTCTTCCAATTGGGAT